TGCCCTGCCTGCGCTACCCGCCCCGCCTGATCCGTGGCCTGGCCCGGCTGGAGGGCCGCTGCAGGGGGGGCTACCGCTTGGCCCTGCTGGGCCTCCTGGCGGCCGAGCTCCTCAGCCTCTTGCTGGTCTTCCTGCCCATCGTCCTCCTCCTGATGCTGTTTCTCATCCTGGACAGGTAGCGCGTCCTGGCCAGCTTTGTCCAAGAGGCCAGTGGGCTCCTCCAGCCACAGAGCCTGGGTGCCCCCTGACCCAGGAGGCCAGCCCTGTGGCCAGCCCTGACCAGCGGCTGGACCGTCGGCCTCTCCTAGGGGCCAGGCAAGACTCTCATACGGAGATGCGCTGCCTGCTGGGACTGAGGCCGGACCCTTCTGCCTGCCAGCTTGGATCTCCCATTTCCCTTCCAGCCAAGGGAAGGGGTTGGAGCAGTTTGCCCATTTTTCCACCTGAACATTCCTCCTGGACTGAGCCAGGTCTGAGAGGGGTAGAAATCCACCCCGGACGAGATTGTGGTGCCCAGGGCAGCACCCCAGCAGACGACTGCTGCTCCTCCGGCCTCTTCTAAAGAAAACATGCCTTCTCTCTCTCTCTCTCAGGCCACCTTGTGCGGCGCTGCAGAAGGGGGAAGGAGGAAATCATCGTTTTTGGCCCATGCGTTTGGTGGCTGGGCTTTTCATCCCTGTTTGATAAGATGTCTTGTGATTGCCAAAGGTGATTTTGCAAACGGTGTCACGAGACCCAAACGCCTGGGTGTGGCTCATCTTTCCCAGATGGGGCTCAGGGAGGCAAGAGGGGGAAAAACAAGTCCCATATGCCACCCATATCCCACCCAAACTGCCTCCTCCCCCCCCCGCCTCCGCCCCTTCGATGCTGGGACTGGGTTTCCAGGACAAGCCAACATCATCCCTCCTGCCCCCCTCCTGCAGAGATCTGCCTGCTCTTTTCCCGGTCCCTTGGCTGTAAGGAGGAGAAACTCCTCTGCCCATGTTCAGAGGGCCTGTTTGGCTAGGCATGGCTTTGGAAGCGGGTCAGGGAAGGATCTGAAGCCCACCTGGCATTGGGCCTCCTGCGACTCTCTCCCAGTGCCTTCTATTCTGCACCACGTCCAGAAAATCAGGAGGTCCGGAAGACGCTTGGAAACCATTGGCTTTTTATTCGGTTTGGGCTGCAGCGATGCTGCCCGAGTGGCGTATGGGAACTGTCATCCCGAAGGGGAAACCTCTGTGCTGCGTATC